GCCTGATACAGGCCATTGTCTTTGCAATCACTTGCTGTGCTTCAGAAAGCTGGACAATGACTAGGGAGGATAGGAGAACTGATGCCTTTGAGCTGTGAGGTTGGAGAAGAGTATTGAATGTACCATGAACTGCTAAGAAAACGAACAGATTTATCCTTGTTGTTGTTGTTGTTAGGTGCTTCTGACTCATAAAGACCCTATCCTGGATAGGGTTAAACCAGGCTGCTCCTTGGAGGCAAGGATTCTGAAGCTTTGTCTGACATACTTTGGACATGTTGCAAGGAGGGACCAGTCCTTGGACCAGTCATGCTTGGGAGGGTGGAGGGACAGTGCAGGAGAGAAAGACCCTCTGTGAGGTGGATTGATTCAATGACTGGGGTAATAGGCTAGGTATGTCAGAGACAGTGAGATTGGCACAAGATAGAGCAGGGTTTAGGGCTATTGTCATAGGTCTCTATGAGTTGCAAATGACTCAACAGCACATAACAACAAAAACAACAAGAAAGGTAAATACTGCAGAAGGCCACTATTGTGAAAATAGAAGTATAACTGGGTAAGATGTGTGTAAATATTCAAAAGGGAAAGGAATGAGGTGGTGGGAAAAGGGTAAGGAAGGAAATCATTAGGATAACAGAGGTCAGTGGGTGGGTAGGGTTCATGAGGGTGAAAAGACAAGATATTTCCTTTTATTTTAAATTTTTATTAAATTTTATTAATTTTAATGAACATTTACAGAGATTTTGGGTTTCCATTCATTCATTGTTGCACTGTTTTCTCTACCCTCCCCCCAGTTCATTCCTCTTTTCTCCCCTCCCTTGAAAGTCTGTTTTAATTGTCCAGTTGCCACAGTGCTTGTCAAAGCCAGTTCTGATTAATCTCCTTTGTCAGTGTGTCCTTTGCCATTCCCTATCACTCCTCCCTGAGAGAGACTTCACCCTGATTCAAAAGGAAAAGGGGACGGCGTAGTCTCTTAGCTACTTCCTGCTGAAAAGGGACCCTGTAGGTTTCAGGGTGAAGATATTATTGTCATGACAGGAGTCCAGAATGAAGACTGTACAGTGGAGCGAACTTGGGGGGAGGGATTGCATAGCAATGAAAGAGTTTTTCTTTTACTTTTCAAGGAAAAAAGTGAATTGGGGGTAGGGGGTGGGTAGGGAGAAAAGTGAAAAAAAAAAAAAAAAGACAGGATAACGATAGGCATGGATCATTGTTACTGTTGTTGTTTGTTCTCAAGTTTACAACAACTCATAGTGACCCTATGCTTGATAGCTCCAAACCCTGTCCTATTCCATGCCTATCTCACTGTCTCTAACACACCTACCCCCATTACTGTTTCAGTCCATCTCATCTGGGATCTTCCTCTCCTGTACTCTCTCTCCACCCTTCCAAGAATGATGTCTTTCTCCAAGGACTGGCCCTTCCTGACCAAATGCCCCAAATATGCGAGACAGAGTCTCAAAATCCTTATCTCAAAGAAGAAGTCTGGTTTCATCCTTTCCAGGACAGACCTGTTTGTTCTCTTGGCAGTCCATGGAATGTTCAATACTCTTCTACAGCACCACAACTCAAAGACATTGATTCTTCTTCTGTCCTTTTCAGTCATAATTATATAAAATGCATAACGTGCAAGAATGAAACACAATTTGAATGCAAGATTATATAAAATACAACGTACAAACGTCCCTCCCAATGTCTGTGCATGAAACATAACATTTATGAATCATTATAGGCAAAACAATAAAGATATGAGAAGGGGGAAAGAAGGTAGAGGTAAGATGAATAAGGAAAATTTGTTTTCACTGTATATTCCTTCACTTAAAAAACAAACAAAAAATTGGTGACTGGAATGTTAAAGAAAGCACTAGGTCCTTATTCTTTGTGTGTCTTTATACTGGAAGCACTGCTGAAACCTGTCCACCATGGGAGACCTTGCTGGTATTTGAAATATCTGTGATACAGCTTCTAGAATTATAGCAACACACATCACCACAATGCAACTCAATATAACACAGCTTTCTCCTAGGGAAATCCTAATTGTAACCAGGATGATGCTGTGTAACAAATGGAGAAGCGGCAGCAGGGACATAATGACCCAGTATATCCCAATTTACCTCTAACTTCTTCTTCACTCCTATTCTACCTATACCACATTTATATTCCCTGTTGAAGCCTTGAAGTTCAAAGCATTTACAAGAGCCCTTAGGAGAGTAATGTCTTGATAGCTTCTTGGTGAAAATCAAGTTCAAGATTTGGAGATAGTCCAGGTGCCTAACCACAACTTTTGGCAATAGATAGTATCACCATGCACACAGAGTGCTGGTCTTTCTTCTTGTTAACTGTTGTTGAGTTAGGCCTTAACTCCTGGCTAACTTATATACAACAGAAATAACACTTTCTAAACATTTGGAGCTCCATAGCTAGCTGTTGATTGGATCCCTGTGATTCCTAGAGTTTCAGCTGGCTAAATTTTGGAAAGGGATCGACAAAACTCTTTCTAGTCTTTGTCTAGAAGTCCCACTGGAAGCTGTTTAGCATCATAGCAATCAATACACAAGTATTATTACTTTGTGTGATGAGGAACTTGCAGTTTGCTGGTCAAGCAGTATAAGTATACAGGGAAGAGAAATGGAAGGTAGAAAAAAAGGTAGTCTGAAACTTTCTTTAATAGAATGAAGCTGAACCCAAACACGCCATATCCTTCCCTTATCCTGTCCAAAGTTAGTGAGCAACAGTTGCCGTAGATGTGAATGGAGCTGGTCAAACAGTTGAGGGCACTCTTCACACCCAGAAAGATTCAAGGCCATTGTTACTTCACTCTTTCCTCACGGGAAGATTCCATGAAACTCTTATAAAGCCCTGTCCCGTGTTTTTGTTTTTGGATTTTTTTTTTTCTGGTTACATTTATTTGTCTTGGAACAAAGCCGAGTAGATATTTCTAAAGTAGAAATGGGCCCAATCCAATGCTGACTTTTTAACTCTTCTATCTGCAGGTGGATTGTTTACATACGTGTCTGGAGCCAATTTCTTTGGTGAGATCATGGAATGGTTTGGCTATGCCCTGGCTACCTGGTCCCTCCCAGCACTTTCATTTGCATTATTCTCACTCTGCTTTCTTGGACTACGAGCTTTTCATCACCACAGGTAAATTTTTCAATCAAGATTGGAGCATCTACATTTCTTCTCCAAACATGTGAAGTCATATTTAGAAACCTGAGATTCTTATGTCTATAAAATAAGTTTGATACAATAACTTGAATTGCACTTTCTGACTTCTCAAACTTTCACTGAGGTAGTTTGGTAGTCTAGTGGGTAAGGAGTTGTGCTGCCAAACCAAAGGCAAGTGTTTTCAATCTACCAGCTGTTCTGTGGGAGAAAGAGGGACAATTTCCTGTGATTTACAGCCTCTGAAAGCACCTTGGTGGGTCAGTTGTAAGTCCATTCTGACTTCCCAGAAAATAACAAGCTTTCATTGAAGTTGGAATTTACCTGAGTATCTGTAGTAGGAGAAGCACAATGTTTTTATAATAACTAAATTAAACCCATGAATACAGAGACATTAGAAAAGGTGATCCAACATACTTTGGACATGTTGTGAGGAGGGACTGATCCTTGGAGAAGGACATCATGCTTGGGAGGGTGGAGGGACAGCTCAGGAGAGGAAGGGACTCTATGAGGTGGATTGATTCAGTGACTGTAGTAATCGGGATGGGTGTGTCAGAGGCAGTGCGATTGGCACAGGACAGAGCAGAGTTTAGGGCTGTTGTACATAGGGTCGCTATGAGTTGCAAGAAACTCGACAGCATGTAACAACAACAACAACAGCAACAGAGTATGGAAATTATCAAACGGTATCACTTATATCAAGGATTCTGAAGCTTTGTCTGACATACTTTGGACATGTTGCAGGAGGGATCAGTCCTTGGAGAGGGATGTGATGCTTGGGATGGTGGAAGGACAGCGCAGGAGAGGAAGACCCTCGATGAGATGGATTGATTCGGATACAATAAGATTGACAAGGGATAGAGCAGGGTTTAGTGCTGTTGTACATTGGGTTGCTATGAGTCACAAGTGACTCAACGGCAGATAACAACAAAACAACAACATCACTCATATCACATACAGGCAAAATCTTGCTGAAGATTATTCAAAAGTTACTCAAACAGTAGACTGACAGAGAACTATCAAAAACACAAGCTGAATTTAGAAGAGGACATAGCACAAGGGACATCATTATCAATGCCAGATGGATCTTGGCCAAAAGCAGAGGGTTCCAGGGGAATGTTTATCTGTGGTTCATTGACTGTACAAAGGCATTTGACTGTGTGGATCACAACAAATTTTGGCTAACCTTGAGAAGAATGAGAATCGCAGAATACTTGACTCTGCGCATGTGAAACCTATACTTGGACCAAGAAGCAGAAGCCGGGATGGAGAAAGGAAATACTGCATGATTCAAAATTAGGAATGGAGTGTGTCCTGTTTCCCTCTATATACAGAACAGATCATTTGGGATACTGGGCTCTCTGAGGAGGAATGTGGCATCAGGATTGGAGGAAGACTCATCAACAACCTGTGTTATGCAAATGACACAATCTTACTTGCTGAAACTGAGGAGAGCCTGATGCTTTTGCTGCAGAAGGTCAAGGATTATAGTCTGCAATGTGGATTGAAGCTCAACAAGAAAACAAAGACTCTCACCAATGGACTAATTGGCAGCACCATGATAGATGGAGAGGAAACTGAGATTGTTATCAATTTCGGCTTGCTCAGTTCCATAATCAACACTCTCGGCACCAACAGTCAGGAAATCAAAAGATGAATTGCATTGGGAAAACGTGCTGTCAGAGACCTATCCAGAGTGCTGAAGAGCAACAATGGCAGTCTAGAGACTATGGTGTGCCTGATCCAGGTCATGGTCTTCACAATTACTTGCTATGCATTAGACAGCTTGAGAATGACAAAGGATGACAGAAGAAGAATTGATGCCTTTGAGTTGTGGTGCTGGAGAAGAACATTAAACATAACATGGACTGCCAAGAGAACAAACAGGCCTATCCTGGCGAGAGTAAGACCAGTCTGCTCCTTGGAGACAAAGATTATGAGAGTCAGTCTCACATACTTTGGGCATGTGGCCAGAAGGGAACAGTCTTTGGAGAGGGTATCACACTTGGAAGGGTGAAAAGATAATGCAGGAGAGAAGGACTCTCAGAGGAGATAAATTGACACAATAACTGGGGTAATCGAGGTAGGTGTGTCAGAAGCAGTGAAACTGTGTCCAGATAGAGCAGAATTCAGAGCTACTGTACATAGGGTTACTATGAGTCATATTTGACTTGATGGCACATAACAACACCACCAACATATAGAGACATCTGAGTTGAATATTGAGAGGTAGGGGCCTAAAGTGACGAAGAAGTTTTCCCAGTGAGAAGGTGTTTGTGGTCTAGAGTCCACTAGCGATTTAGTGGCTTAGGATTTGCAGCCCTTTGGAAGTTTATCAGAAAATAATTACTAGTTGACAGCAGGCTATATATAGGTAAGAGTGAAAATAATTATGGGGTAGGTTTTTTAATGAGCTGTTCAATTTCTTCTTTTGTCATGGGTCTTTTCAAGTGTTCTGGGTGAGACATGAGTATCAGGAATTTGTCTATTTCCTCTAGGTTTTTTAATTTATCAGAGTATAGCTTTTCATAGTATTCTGATATTATTTATTTAATATCTATTCATCTGATTCTGTTGTTAAGTTACCTGTGTCATTTCTTAATCAAGTAATCTGTGTCTTAATCTTTTTTTATTTTGTTAAGTTTGTCAGTGGTTTTTCAATTTTACTGACCCTTTCAAAAAACCAGCTTCAGGTATTGATGGTTTCAATTGTTTTTCTGTTCTCTATCTCTTTGATTTCAGCTATTATACTTATAATTTTCTTTCTTCTAGAGGCTGTAGGATTAGATTGTTGTTCTTTTTTCTAGTTGATGAAGGTGTTGAGTTAAATCTTTAATTTTTTTTCTTCCTTTTTTATTTGTGAGGGTTTTTCTATGAACTGTCCTTTGAGGACTGCCTTAGCTGCATCCCAGAAGTTCTGGTATATGTTGTACTTTCATTATCACTTGTTTCAAGGAACTTTCCCCCCCCCCCATTCTTTATTTATTTTATAACCCAATCCTATTCTAGCAGAGAGTTTTTAAGCTTCCACGTGGGTGGTTTTGAAGACTTTATCCTTCTGTCGTTAATTTCTAGTTTCATGGCATTGTGATCTGAGAAGATACTTTGATGACTTCACATCTGAATTCTACCAAACACTCAGAGAATGTCTATCACTAGTTCTACTTTATTTAAAAAATAGAAAAGAAGGAATACTTCCAGAGTCATTAATGAAGCAAGTATAACCCTAATATCAAAACAGGCACAGATATTACAAAGAAGAAAAACTACAGACCAATATCTCTCATGAATATAGATGCAAAAATCCTTAACAAAATCTCAGCCAAGAGAATCCAAAAGCACATAAAAATAAATTTCATCGTGATCAAGTGGGATAACAGGTAAGCACAGACAGTTCAACATAAGAAAAACAATCAATGTCATTCACCATATTAACAAAGCAAATAACAAGAACCATATAATCTTAGCAATTGATGCAGAAAAGGCATTTGCAAAATCCAACAACATTTCCTGATGAAAACATTTGGCAAAATTGGAATAGAAGGCAATTTCCTCAACATAGTGAAAACTAAATATGCAAAACCAAGATCTAATACATTCTCAATAGAGAAAGACTAAAACCATTTTCCTTGTGAACAAGGACCAGACAAGAATGCCCCGTCATCACTTCTATTCAGTATTGTACTGGAAGTGCTTGCTAGAGCAATATGATAAGAGAAGGAAATAAAAGGCATCCAGACCAGCAAATAGATGCCAAAACAATCACTATGTGCTGATGATATGTTAGTATATACTGAAAACTCCAATGACCCAACAAAAAAACTGTTAGAGTTAGTAGACCAGTTTAGTAGAGTGGCATGATAAAAGATCAATATCCTAAAATCAGTGGGATTCCTCTACAGTAACAAAGAGAACTCAGAAAAGAAAACCAAAATGTTACCTGTTCATGGATAGGAAGACTCAATATTGTGAAAATGGCAATCCTATCAAAAGCATTCTACATGTTAAACACAATCCAAATCCAGATACAAAATTCACTTTTCAGGGAGAGTGAAAGGGAAATTGTCAAGTTGATTTGGAGAGGAAAGAGATCCCGAATAAGCAAAGCACTTCTGAGAAACAAAAATGAAGTAAGAGGGATAGCACTCCCTGACCTCAAAACCTACTAATCAGGGGTAGTAACGAAAACAGCATGGTACTAGTACAATGACAAGCAGAATTGATAACTGAGAAATGCCTTTGGAAACTCTATGAACTTTGATAAATGATGATAATTATAGAAAGGCTTCAGGCCTTTTGTTCATAGGGTCACTATGTGTCATGCTCCACTCGACAGCAATCAATAAACAACAGTAATCTATTGTCAACTAATGTTAGACAAGGAAATCAAACATGTCAAATGGGGAAATGATAACCTCTTCAACAAATGGTGCTAGTAAAACTGGACTGCTACCTGCAGAAAGATGAAACAGGTTCCACATCTCACACCATACACAAAAATCAACTCAACGTGGACCAAAGATCTGGGAATAAAACCCAAAACCATAAAGTTCATCAGAGAAAAACTGGGATCAAGCTTAGACAGCCTAGTCTATGGTACAAAGAGATCGCCAAATACAGCCAGAAATGCACAATCTCAAGAGTATAAAATTGATGTACGGGACCTTCTAAAGATTAAATCTGTTTCATTAAAAACTTTTCCAGCAGAGTGAAAAGAAAACCTATTGGCTGGGAAAAAACATTTGGCAATACCATGTCAGACAGGGGTCTCATATAAAAAGTCTACAGAATCCTATAGGGTCTCCACAAGAAAAAGACTGATAATCCAGTTACAAAAAGGGCAAAAGACATGGGAAGAATTTTCACAGAGGAAGATGTGTGAATATTTTGAATTTCAGGAAGAAATGCTCAACATCACTGGCAATCAGAAAGATGCAAATCAAAACCACAATGAGATACCAATTCACTCCAGAAGCAGTGGCAAAGTTTAACAGAATAGCAAGTAATAAATGCTGGTGAGGATGTATAGAGATAAGAATTACTGTTGGTGGAATTGTAAAATGATAAAACTACTCTGGAAGGCAGTTTGGCGTGTCCTCAAAAAGATGAACATAGAAATTTCATATGACTCATCTATTCCCCTGCTTGGGATACATCCCAAGAATATGAGAGCGGAGGCAGAAATGGAGACTTGTATACCAGTGTTCATAGCAGCGTTATTCAGCTTCACAAGACGATGGAAACAACCCAAATGTCCAACCAAAATTGAATGGATTGAGAAACTATGGTACATACGCATGATGAAATATTGTGCAGCATGTAGGAGCAATGATTTTGTAAATCACAACCTAACCTGGGAGGGATTGGAGAGCATTATGCTAAGTGAACTAACTCAGTCCCAAAAGGACAAATACTATATAAAACCATTATTGTAGAAATAACCATTAAAATGTGTACAAGGATCTAAGGGGGGGGTAGGGGGGAGCAGAGGGGTGAGGAACGGTGGGAACATAATTAAAGGGTCGCACAATTTGATGGGTGGAGGGAAGGGTGAGTTAAGGAAATGGGAAAGATCCAGTGTGAAAAACAATGCATACGGAATTAGTAAGTAAACCAGAATAAAAAAGAAAGTGTTTTTTTTTTTTAAAGTGAAGAAAGTTAGCTTTCGGTTTCTTGCTCCAATCCAATTTCCCTTTGCCACATTTCTCATGGCATATTCCATGTTGAGGGTTATTGCAAACACATAGTAAAGCTTACAGGGATGATTCTGAGGAATGGCCAGGGATGAGAACGCAAGCACAAAGCATTATGCACAGAGCGGTTGCTATTTTTGGCTTCCAGGAGCATTTTCTTTTTTCCCCCCTCTGGCCTATCTATAATTACAAGGCTTCTTTTGACATTCCCTTCTCCTAAGTCCCGAATAGGTTCTGGTAGGTTAGGAGTTGCACTGTCAATTCAAAGACAGGAGGTTTGAATCCATCAGCTGGTGCATGGAAAAATGATGGGAAATATCCTTTAATGTAATTTATATCTCTGAAAACCCACTGGAAGGTCAGCTATGAGAGTGTAAATGGAGCTTTCAATATATGGCCTTCCAGGAAGGGAAGAGAAGCAGATGTGCGTGTGATATTTCAGGACTGCTCCACCTGCTGGGAAATGCTGGAATTACAGGGTTGCAGAACATTTTCTAGTACCGACTAGCTAGCACCTCCCTCTTTATTTCTTTATTTGGTGATGGTGCTAGGAAAAAGAATTAACCGGAAGTGTTCTATGTACGCACCAGCTGCCAGGAAATAAAAAAACGTATTGCGATGGGAAAGTCTGCTGTTAGAGACCTCTCTAAAGTACTCAAGAGCAACGGTGTCTCTTTGGAGACAAAGGTGTGCCTGATACAGGCCATGGTCTTTGCAATCACTTGTTATGCATCAGAGAGCTGGACAATGACTAGGGAGGACAGAAGGAGAATTGACGCCTTTGAGCTGTGGTGCTGGAGAAGAGTATTGAATGTACCATGGACTGCCAAGAAAACAAACAGATCCATCCTAGAGAGGCTTAAAGCAGGCTACTCCTTGGAGGCAAGGATTCTGGGGCTTTGTCTGACATACTTTGGACATGTTGCAAGGAGAGACAGGTCTTTGGAGAGGGACATCATGCTGGGTAGAGTAGAGGGACAGCGCAGGAGGGGAAGACCCTCTATGAGGTGGATTGATTCAGTGACAGGGGTAATCGGGATAGGTGTGTCAGAGGCAATGCGATTGGCACAGGATAGAGCAGGGTTTAGGGCTGTTGTACATAGGGTCACTATCACTATGAGTCACAAACGACTCGACGGCACATAACAACAAAACATAACAACAATTCTATGTACGAGAAGACCATATACTAAGTTGCCTTTAAAAATTCTGTCTTTAAATCAAAGCATAGATTTCAGATCCTAAAATGACTTTTGCCATTATAAGAAAGAGAAAACCAGTGATAACTGGGGACATAGGAAAAGGATGCTTAGAAGGGGAATGTCCTTGGAAAACTAGAACCTGAGGGCTTTTATGCAGGTGTTTCAATGTGGATAATAAGAACTTTCGTAGCTTTGAAGTGTAAACTAATAGTAAGTTGTTCTGCATGGAAGAGAAAACAACTGCCTGTGATTGATTCCTGCCTCTTCTCTAGATGTGGTGGGGAAGGGCAGAAGAAGCTCCTAATCTACAAGGAAGTAACAGTTTACCAGATGCAGAGAGGAAGTGGGAGAGGAGAGAACATCATCCCAGGATGTAGATGAAGTGTGTGTTCACTTATGCTCAGTCAGGGGAAGGTATCAATTCCATCAGAAGTTTCCAGCTGCTGAAACATCCACAGTCCCCAAATAAGACCCTATCCTATTAAGTCAGGCTTCCCTTGAGGATGTATTTTTTATAGGGTGACTTGGAATTTGTTATGACTCTTCCAGGGCACTGCCAAGCCCTCACAGGAGAGGCTGCATAAGCAGACAGCCCTCCAGACCTCTAGATACTGCTACCCCAAAGCAACCATCAATACTAACATATTCTCTCTACCCCAGCTAGACGAAGGTATTTATTTTATCATTTTTCATTTACCAGTTTCAATTTAGAGAAGAGGACTAAGGTAAGCTAAAGAGAGAGTCTTTTTGCAAGGGGACAGTTTCTTGGCATGCCGGGCTTTGTTTCATGAGAATATGTTTTCCTGGAAACTGTAAGTTCTCTAGGATAAACGACCATGGTCTTCAAGGTCTATGAGTTCTTGTGTTTCTCATCTGAATCTGAATGGGAAATTCCTTCAGGCTACTGTATTTTTATTCCCTAGGCACTCCCTAAACAGCTTGAAAAGTCATAAAAGACAGACTGTAGTTGTGAGAAAGGTGGACAAATGACCAGCATGGAGTGAATAGCTGTGAGGTGGCTTGCAACAGGGGTTTTAGATGTGTGAAAAATCAGCTCTTGACCACTGCTCGACGATTAGTGATTATGTCTTTCCTGTATTTCAGGTTCTACCTTAAGATGTTTGAAGATTACCCTAAATCTCGGAAAGTCCTTATCCCATTCATCTTTTAAAGAAACTACCTATTAAAAGAAGTACAACTCCTCAACACTGATGAAATTAAGCTGCTAAATCAGTAAAACTCTAGTTTCGACATCATAGTTGGCTGCTCCAGATGACCTGGATTCTGGTTGGTGGTGTCTAGATTCCCAGGGCTCCATCTTCGTCTATCCTCTATCCTCGTCTATCCAGGATGTCTTTTCCCACTGGACACCCCTATTTCTAGCTTGTCCCCCTTATTGTTGTTGTTGTTGTTAAGTGCCATCGAGTCACAGACAGTTCATAGTAACCCAATGAATGAAAGACCTGAACACTTGTATAACTTTTATTGTTTCTCCACGTTCATAGAGTTTCCAGAGGCAAGCTATTTCAGAAGTGGATGCCACTCCTGTGCCCCTAGAAAGTGGAAAGTGACCTTGACACAGTTTAGTCCCCCCCATATAATAGTCTGTGTGTGTGTGTGTATGCGTGCGTGCGCACACTCACACGTGTGACTTCATATCTATATTAGCTTTGGATCTGTTTTTCTATATTATCTCAGGAGTCGAGAAAGGTTTGGTTCTTAGACTGTGCTGATAGACTCTATTTTAAAAGTATAGAGAAAACAACAAAAAAGTTAAAATAACACCCCCCCCCAAAGAAGCATATAAGGAGTTTCCAGGTTAAGAACTTTTGTACAGCTTGTAGTGACAACATCCCCCCCTGGCCCAGTAGAAACCTACTAGTTAAAAATGTGATGTAATAACTACTTTGTGAAGACCATAACATACTGTTAACATCATCACTGTAGTATTATGCTAATGATGTTTTAAGTATATGGATGTGTTTTTTAAATGCTCTTATTCATGCAAATGTACACTACAATGTTGTTAGTGGCTGTCAAGTTGACTACCACTCATAGTGACTGTATGAACAGCGGAGTGAAGCCTTGCCCTATCTTGGACCATCACCATCGTCTCCACCATCCTCAAGCTCATTGTTATACTTACTGGATCAAACCATCCTGTTGAAGGTCTTTCTCTCTTTTGTTGACCCTCTACATATGCCAGCATGACCTCTTTTTCAAGAACTGTCTCTTCCCATCAAAACACTCAAAGTATTTGAGATGAAGTTTCACTATCTTGCCTGTAAGAGGCACTTCCTCCAGGAGAGTTGGTTTGTTCTTTTGGCAGTCCACGGTATAGTCAATACTCTGCCAGCAGCCGTACAAGGGCCAAATAGTTGACCAAGTCTAACTTGTGACTAACTGAACTTAGAGATGAGCTGCACGTAACTCTTTCTACTGAAGTACAAATTTAACTTAAAGACAAACTCATGAAAGGAATTCATTCATAAATTTAGGCCTGCCTAGATATGAATTAGAAAATATTTCAATCCTGAAGCCACAGCAAATTCACCTCCAAATGAAAACAGCTTAGTCAAGGTTGTTTTGTGGGTTTTTTTCCCTCATTCATGATGTAGACAAGAGGTGAGATGATCAAGGAGACCTTGGCTGGGACTTTGTCCATCACAGTCCTCCGATGCGATGCTTAAGGCTGTTCAATGTGTTACAAAGTAGAATTGCTCCAAAGAGTCTTCCTGGTGGTGATTCTTATAGAAGCAGATCACCAGGCCTTTCTTCCATGGTGCAGTTGAGTGAGATCAAATTGCCTGCCATTTTCATTAGTAAGTGAACATAAATCATTTGCACCACTCAAGGACCTCTTGGAATATAATAAGCACTCAATAAATGGCAGGTACTATTTGCCAAGCTATGTTTCATTCTGTTAAGTATAAGTGACCTTATGTAACTATATACTTACATAAGTGACCTTATATAACTATATACTTATATAAGGTCACCTTATATAAGTATATACTTATATAAGATGACCTTATATAAGTACATACTTATATAAGGTCACTTAACAGATTTATTCTGTTAAGGTCACTTATAGTTAATAGACCAACTGACCAGATAATGATAATTGGAAAAAAAGACTATATTGTCAATTATTTTATTTTACTTGGATCCACAATCAATACCCATGATAACACAAGTCAAGAAGTCAAAAAGATGTGTTGTTGTATTGGAGAAAGGTGCTCCAAAGTGCTAAACAGCCATGATGTCCATTTAAAGGTACGCCTGATCCTAGCCATGATATTTTCAATTCCTTCATATCCATCCAAAAGTTGAACAAGGAAGGAAAATGTCAGAAAAAGAACTGATGCCTTTGAGGTGTGGTATTGGAGAAATTGTTGTTGTGTGGGGAAGTTGTTGTTGTGTACCATCGAGTCAGAACTGACCCATAGCTGACCCTCTGGCAGGTTTTCAGAGGCGGTTAATCTCAGGGAAGATTATCCACCCTTCTCCCATTGGCCAGCTGCTGGCCTCGAACCACGTACCTTTGGGATAGCAGTACAGCTTCTTGCCACCAGGTCAGTGGAGTGCAGGATATTCCCTGGGCTGTGAAAAAACCCCAAACAAATATGTCTTGGATAAACAGCAGCCAGAGTGCTCTGTAGAGTCAAGAATGGTGTAACTTCGTCTCATATGCGTTGGGCATCTTGTTAACAGAGGCCAATCCTTGGAAATAGACATCAGGCTGGGAAAAGTAGAGGGTTAGAGAAAAAAAAGGAAGACCCTCAAAGAGATGGACTAACTGACGCCGTGACTATGACAATGTGCTCAAGCATGTGTGAGACTATGAGGATGGCCTCAGACAGGGCCAGGCCACCATGAAACATGCTCAACTGGCTGTCATTTAACAACAGAAGTCCCTCACAGTCCACTTTCCCAAAACACAACCATTGGAGTTGATTGGACGTAACTGCTTTGTTTTTACTATTTGTCCAGGATAAAACGCCTATTTGACAATGACACATTTTTGCCACTAGAGGGTGATATCTAGAATTCTATTTTGGCCAACTCTGAAAACAAAATAAACCCCTGGTCATTTCAAGCTAATACAATTGTATTCAAGCTAATACAATTTATTCTAAAGTGTACAGTGACCTTCATGTCATATGAAATACTTCTCTGGTAACTGAGGTATTTTCAGTGCTCTTGGACTATTGTTAACACCCTTAGTTCTTGCTGTTTAGAAATTAGTATGTGTATATGTAGATTTAATACAATAAAGATTTTTAAAAATTTTATTGTGATTTGCGTGAAAGTTTACAAAGGAAATTGGTTTTATGCTGATATGAATTTTGTTTTATAACAGTAAATACAATTCCAGTAACATAATCACATTCTTCTTCCTTCCTTCCTGTGAAGCCTCATCGCCTTTGATTGCCCCATCCCACCGCTTCCTGTCTTCTGAGCTTTGCTCTTGGGCAAGTGCTGTCCTTGTGATACAATAAAGATTTGAATGGGTTTTCATCCCTAAACATATTGTCATTTCTCCCCCCCCCAAAAAAAAAATAGAGTTCAACAACAATAGCAAAATAGAATTATTATATGTTGCCATGGGATATTTTGGGGTCAGAATAATGTATTAGCAGGATCTCAGTTAACGAGATCCTTGGTCTTGCTCCTCACAGAGAAAATACTTTCCTTTTGACCTGGTACAAGATGCTGTAATATTTTGGTTGTTTCCTACACGTTAGCATTAAAAAGCTGAAGTGTGTCTTTTAGCTAGTCCAGTCCCTTCATAGTTTAGATAGAGAATACAATATCCACAGGGCTAAAAGCTTCCCCAGAATACTGGCCAGAACAGTCACTTGAGCTAGTCCGTTAGGCTATCATAAGTCTTTTTGTTAAAATAATGTTGATCGGTTTGCATAGAATCATTCCTATCCACCATGTTTTGTTCATATACTTGATGTTTTATACAATCGTTCATATACATGCTATTTTATAATTAATTGCCCTTACTTTATGCCTATTATCACAACACCTTTTCAATCCCCCACGAACCTTTCTCATTACTTTACCCTTTCCACACACTAGCCTCTGCCCTCCCAGTGCTTTCCAGCCATCCCCTTCTTCTGCACCCTTCTCTCCTTTTCCGTTTGAACATTTAGATGTATCTTACTCAATTATCTTCCAATTTTCACAATAGTGGCCTTATGCAGTATTTGTCTTTCAGTGACTGAAATATTTCACACAGCAAAATGCTCTCTAATCTCTCCAAAGTTACATTTTGCAAAATCGTTGTTCCTTAGTGCTGCATAGTATTATTTCATTGTGTGAATGGACCAAAATTGTTCAAACAAGAGCAACAGTGAGAATCTGGAGATGAAGATGTGCCTGATCTAAGCCACATTACATTGTTGTTACTGTTGTTATGTGCTGTCGAGTTGCTTGCGATTCATAGAACTCTATGTACAAGAGCCCCACACCAGCTCTATCCTGTGCCAACACACTGTCTCCAATACACCTACCCCCACCACCCCAATCACAGAATCGATCCATCTCATTGAGGGTCTTCTTCTCTTGCACTGTCCCTCCATCCTCCCAAACATGACATCCCTCTCCAAGGGCTGGTCCTTTCTTGCAACATGCCCAAGGTATATTAGATGAAGCTTCAGAATCCTTGCTTCCAAGAAGCAGCCCATTTTCACCTTCTCCAGGATGAATCTGTTTCTTCTCCAGCACCACAGCTTGAAGGCATCAATTCTCCTTCTATCCTCCCTAGTCATTGTTTAGCTCTCTGACGTATGGCCTGGATCAGGTGCACCTTAATCCCCAGCCTGACTTCGTTACTATTCAGTACTCTGGTGAGGTCTCTGACAGCAGACTTTCCCAGTGCAATTCATCTCTTGATTTCCTGGCTGCTAGTACCAATGGTGTTGATTGTGGAGCCAATCAAACTAAAACTGTTAACAATTTTAATCTCTTCACCATCCATAATGATGCTGTCAATTGGCCCAGAGGCGAAAATCTTTATTTTCTTGATGTTTAGCTTCAATTCATAGTGAAGGTTGCATGCAGTCTTTGACCTTCTGCAGCAAGTGCTTCAGGTCCTCCTCAGTTTCAGCAACCAGGGTTGTGTCATCTGCATAACGCAGGTTGTTGATGAATCTTCCT